TTTGTGAGCTCAGGGGCCATGCTAATCTTATCCAATTTTAGTATATGTGCTGCCCAGGGAAGCACCACAATGTGATATTTTCATATGTGTAAAGAGTTTTGTTTTTTAAAGATGTGGAGAAATTAGGGAAGGGTTAGATATATAGTTCTAGTTACATTTGTCCCTGATTATAAACTACAAGTTTGTTATAGAAAATAAAGAATAGGGCTACGTGCGGTGGCGCATGCCTATAATCCCAGCTACTTGGGGAGCTGAGACAGGAGAATTGCTTGAACCTGGGAGGCAGAGGTTGCAGTGCGCCAAGATTGTGCTGTTGCACTCCAGCCTGGGCAACAAAAGCAAAATTCTGTCTTTAAAAAAAAAAAAAAAGAAAAGAATAAAAACAAGAAACTAAATCCCCTTAATTTGCAAACTTTCAGAAATAATCCCTTTAAAATACTTTTTCAACTTCTTTCAAAAACAGGGTCATCCAATATATAGTTTTTATTTATTTATTTATTTATTTTTTGAGATGGAGTTTCACTCTTGTTGCCCAGGCTAGAGTGCAATGGCGTAATCTCTGCTCACCACAACCTCTGCCTCCTGGGTTCAAGCAATTCTCCTGCCTCAGCCTCCCAAGTAGCTGGAGTTACAGGCATGTGCCACCATGCCCAGCTAATTTTGTATTTTTAGTAGAGACAGGGTTTCTCCATATTGGTCAGGCTGGTCTCGAACTCTCAACCTCAGGTGATCTGCCTGCCTCAGCCTCCCAAAGTGCTGGGATTACAGGCGTGAGCCACCACGCTCAACTATTTATTTTTTGAGATGGAGTTTCACTCTTGCTGCCCAGGCTGGAGTGCAATGGTGCGATTTCGGCTCACTGCAACCTCTACCTCCTGTGTTCAAGCAATTCTCCTGCCTCAGCCTCCCAAGTAGCTGAGACTACAGACGCCCGCCACCATGCCTGGCTATTTTTTTGTATTTTTAGTAGAGATGGGGTTTCACCATGTTGGCCAGGCTGGTCTCGAACTCCTGACCTCAGGTGATCTGCCTGTCTCAGCCTCCCAAAGTGCTGGAATTACAGGTGTGAGCCACCATGCCCAGCCCCTATATGTAGTTTTTAGAATCTGCTTTTCCACTTACATTATGAATGTGTCTGGTTTATTTATTTATTTTTGAGATGAAGTCTCGCTCTGTCACCCAGGCTGGAGTGCAGTGGCGCAGTCATGGCTCACTGCAGCCTCAACCTCCTGAGCTCAAGTAAGCCTCCCACTTCGGCCTCCCAAGTAGCTGGGACTATAGGCGTGTGCTACTATGTCCACCTAATTTTTTTTTTTTTTTTTTTTTGGTAGAGGTAGGGTCTCATTATATTGCTCAGGCTGGTCTCAAACTCCTAGGCTCAAGAGATCCTCCAACCTTGGCCTCCCAAAGTACTAGAATTACTGACCTGACCCACTGTGCCCAATTAATGTGATTTTTAACTTTGACTTTGGAATGTAGCCAACACAAATACCCCTACATGAAACCACCCGGCCCTGCACACACCCTTACCCTCCTCCTCCTGCACAGTCCATCAAGCTTGAGTGAGGATCCATTTGTAGGATCCAGACAGCTGAAATATTTCCACCAAAAGACTCATTCCTGAGAGTCAGTGAATTAGGGTCCTGTCCCTTAAGAAATGTGGCCGGGCGCGGTGGCTCAAGCCTGTAATCCCAGCACTTTAGGAGGCCGAGACAGGCGGATCACGAGGTCAGGAGATCGAGACCATCCTGGTTAACCCGGTGAAACGCCGTCTCTACTAAAAAATACAAAAAACTAGCCGGGTGAGGTGGCGGGCGCCTGTAGTCCCAGCTACTTGGGAGGCTGAGGCAGGAGAATGGCGTAAACCTGGGAGGCGGAGCTTGCAGTGAGCTGAGATCTGGCCACTGCACTCCAGCCTGGGCAACAGAGCGAGACTCCGTCTCAAAAAAAAAAAAAAAAAAAGAAATGTAAACATCCCTGGGAAGGGCTGATGTGTGGGTAAAATCACCTTGCCTTTAACTCTTCAGAATTTGTAGATCTGTTAACTTTCCTTTACCTAGATGTTCCTCAACAGCTCCAAGCCTGAGTTCCCCAAAGCTCCAGAGACTGTAAGGGTATGGGCCAGAAAGTCATGATCCTGAAGATACACCTTTCCAGCTTGGATCACTGATATCTTGGATAGCTGAGACGTGAGGGGAATAAAGATCTCCAGGTTCATTCTCAGCAGTCTATGCTGAACGTGACACTGGTGTTGCTTCCCTGTCTCCACTCTGGACTCTGTCCTGCCTTCCTCTCTGTCCCCTGAACCTGGCTGGATCCCCCTCCGACCTTACCCTACTCCCCTTTTGCTTGAATTCTTTTTTTTTTTTTTTTTTTTTTGAGACAGACTTTCATTCTTTTTGCCCAGGCTGCAGTGCAATGGCGTGATATCGGCTCACCGCAACCTTTGCCTCCCGGGTTCAAGTGATTTTCCTGCCTCAGCCTCCCCAGTAGCTGGGATTACAGGCATGCGCCACCACGCCCAGCTAATATTGTATTTTTAGTAGAGACAGGGTTTCTCCATGTTGGTCAGGCTGGTCTCGAACTCCTGACCTCGTGATCCATCCGCCTCAGCTTCCCAAAGTGCTGAGATTACAGGCGTAAGCCACCACGCGCAGCTCTGAATTCTTATCTCACTTACTGACACCAACCATTGTTCAGCTGTTAAAAGTTAGCGATTTTTGTTTTCTCACTACACAGCCAAATGATCTGAACTGTTTTCTAGCTCCTTCCCCTCCTCCTCAACCTCAGGACCACGGCTTGAGTTTTAGGGCACCCCGAGTCTCCAGTCCAACTCCAAGACTGTTGCCAGAGGATCTTCTTGATGGTGGTGCTGATTATGTCACATTTGTGTCTTTTTTGATGCCCAAATCTTCAGCATGGCATGCAATGACCTTCAAAGTCTGTTATCCACTACCTTCCATCTTCTTATCCACATCTCTATTCTCCAGTCACACCCATTTACAAACCTTCGCTAAACACACCAGCAGACTGGCTGCCTCACCTTTGTAGGCGCTATTCCACGTGTCTTAAATGGGGTTTCCAGCCTCAGTCTGGCAAACCCTCATTTATCCTCAAAAGTGAGATCAAATGCACTGTAACTTGGATTTCACTGTTCTTGCCCTTGCGCTCCCATTGAACTCGGCATAATTGTCTGTCTTCTCACCTAGACTGGAACTACTTGAGGAAAGGGACCTACCCCTTCCCTTAGTGCGGTGTCAAAGTCAACAAACACTCAAATGATTGCTGAATTCATATAATTATTATTAATTACTTTGACACAGGGTCTCGCTCTGTCATCCAGGCTGGCTTGCGGTGATGCATTCACGGCTCATTGCAGCCTCAACTTTCTGGGCTCAAACTATCCTCCCACCTCAGCCTCCTGAGTAGCTGGGACTACAGGTGCAGGAAACCATGATGCCCAGGCGGGCCTCGAACTCCTGGGCTCAAGCAATCCACCTGCCTCGGCCTCCCAAAGTGCTAAGATGACAGGCGTGAGCCACCGCGCCCCCCCTATGATTGCTGAATTAAATAGTTGGTGCTTAGTGTGTATTTCACGTGGTGCTGATACGCTGCCTTGTGTTTTGGTCTTTTCATGTGCATGAGGCATGACCAAGCCTTGATATGACTCATTATTTAATAAAAATACCACAATTCATCTATTCAAATGAGGGCTGCGTCTTCAACGCCTTCACCTTGCAGGAGTGGATGCTTAGCTCAGTGACGGCGTCATTGCTTGAAAGACTTTTGGAATACCTCTCTTGGAAACAACTTTGGCACCGAAAGCACTTTCCTTTCAATATCTTCCACGGTAGCAATTGTTTTTCATTTACGCAGCATTTATCATGCACTTCCCTATCCCAGGCACCAGGCTGGTTCTGTGTGAAAGATAAGATAAATCAGACATTACTCTGTCTTCAAGGAAGTTTCTGTTTGGCAAGGGAGATAAGATCTAGACAACCACCCAACACAAGGCTAAGTGATAACGCCCCAGAAAAGTTTGGACTTGATTTTTGGAAAAAGCCAAAAGTCCTTTGGTTTCAGTCTCCTGGCCAGGTAGATGATGGCGCTGTCTGCCAGCACACTGCTTTAAGCCCGTTTGTCCTGAGCGTCTCCAAACAAGGAGCCCAGCGTGTTTCCAGCACCCCCTGCCCCAACAAGAGACTCCTGGGCATGTGTGTCTGAAGTCCAGACTCTCGCCGATGGCAGTATACTCCGAGGCCTCCCCAGCTAAACTCTGGGCTCTTTGAGGGCAGGTGCTGAGGGCTGATCCTGGTCTTCACAGTATCTGGATTCATCATACATATTAGATGAATATTCATTGAGTCACTGAGCCCAAAAGGCGTCTCGGGGCATGCCACATGGACTTCAAACCGAGTGCCCTTTCTCCCATGTGGTTTACTCGTAGTGGCAGTTTTACAGATGCCCAAGGGGCAGGAGAGAAAAACGGAAAGGGCTAAAGCCGGGGAGGGCAAGCGAGGGGGCACTGGCGGCGGATCCGGGAATGGAGCCCGCGAGTTCCTGCTTCCTGGTTCCCCGGAGCAAGTGTCCTTTGGTGGGAGCCGCAGGGAAGGGAGCAGCCCTTCCTGCGCGCCGGGCGCCCGCCCCTTCCCCGGCCTCCCAGGGACTCGCACGGAGGGACGCCGGGTGGCGGGGCGGGAGGCCGGGCCCCGTCCACCTCCCCCCGGGACAGCCCCACCCCGGCGAAGAGGAAGGCTCTCGGCTCCTGGGAAAGAGAGTCGGGACCCCGCCAGGACTGGAGGGCGCGGGGCGCGCAACCAGCAGGCAAAGAGTCGGAGCGGAGAGATCGAAGGGCGAGTGGGCGTGGGGGCCGCAGCCGAGGCCGGGGTGGAGGGGTCCCCGCGGTTCCTCGACCCCCTCCCCCGCCGCCCGCCCCGGCCCAGCCCGGCCCCGCCCCGCCCCTGCGGCCCGGCCCCTCGCCCGCCCGCGCTCCGCGCAGTCTCCTCCCCGAGGTGCCGGTGGCCCGGCCGCCACTCCCTCCGGCTCCCTCCCTCCGGCTCCCTCCCTCCCGCCGCGGCGCGCATCTCATTCCAGCCCTCATTCCGCGCATTCCAGCGTCCTCCTCGCACACTCTAGGCCAGGGGGCGGGAGGGCCGCAGCTCCGGCGCCGCCGCGTCCCGCCAGGTGAGAGGCGCCCGCGCCCGCCTCGCCCGCCGCACCCGCCGGCGCCCTCCCGGGCCGCGCGCCCCACGCCGCCGCCGCCGCAGCCGACCGCTCGCGCCGCGTGCTCGGCTGCTCTTTTCTTTCCGCGGCCCGCGTTCCCGCCTCGGACCTCTGCGCTCCGGCGCGCTCCGTCCCGACCTCTGGCTTCCCTCCGCGCTCCGACGCTGCTCGCTGCCCCTCTCCCGCTTCCCTCCGGTCCGCCCCGCGCTCCCCTCCTCGCTCCCGGTTGACTCACTCCTCCAGGAATAGGGATCCCCGTGTTTTCCCGTCAGTCCCATTCTGGGAAAACTCCTCCCTCCCGCGCGCTCCGCTGCGCTTCGCTCCGCTGGGTGCACCGGGGCCGGTCGGCGCGGGGTGGGCTTGGCCCCGCGGCCCCGCCTTCACTGCGCCGCCCGTCGGCCCCGGCCGGAGCCCGGCTCTACGCGCTGACGCCCTGTCGTCCCCGCAGAGCGATCGCCGCGGCCAGAAGAGTTGGCGCTCGGGGCGGACTCCTTGGAACTGGCTTAGCGCACACATCCCACCTTCCCGAACCCTGGGACCGGTAAGGCTGGGGAGCGGGGACTTGGTGGGACTTTGCCGGAGGGCAGGAGTCTGCGCGGTGAGTGCGGTGCTCCCTCTCGGGAGGAGACTGGGAAGAGCGAGGCACGTGGAGGCGGCGCGACTGAGGCTGGTGGAGGCGAGGCGGCTCCAGGGGCGGGTAAGGGGGGTGGACACTCGGGACTTTGGGGAAGAGGGAGGCCGGTGTGGAAAGGACCGGAGAGGCAGAACCGAGAGCGTCGGCAACAGAAGAGACTCAGCACCCATGCCCCTTTTCTGCTGGGCCCTTTTTGAGCCTGGAAGGGAGAGACCTGGTGGTAAGCGGACTGCCTGTTTTAAGTGCACAGGCGATGCGAAAGTGGGGGGACGCCTGCAAAAGGTCCTACACCCCAGGGCTTGGGAAGCTGCTGTGTTCCCTGATGGAGACTAGTGAATCGATCCAGGGAGCAGAACTTTCAAACCCCAAAGTGAACATTTCCCCCGCTGCGCTCAGGCACCTGAGGCCTCGCGGACTGACTGCGTCTGTGCTGAATCTGTGTGACAACTGACTGCGCGTCTCCCTCGCTTTGAGTCTCTGTGTGGGTGATATCTATTCACGTGTGACTCACCTTGGCTTCCAGTGGGCGTATCTGTTTGTGTTGAACGTGAGTGACAGAGTGTGTGTATGTGTCTGCGTAAGAAGGGGCTCTCTGAAAGTGTGAGTATCTCTGAGTAGGTGTGTGATGCCACGTCTCTTGAGTGTGTGTTTCTCTTCGAGGATATTGGTTCTGGCTAGGACTGTTCTTCCTCCCTACATAGCCGTGGGCAAGAGTCAGTGTCTTTGGTTGCCTGAGTGCAGGGATAATTTGGCTGTGGTTTTGGAGTGTGTGGCCTCCAGGCTCCGTTTCCCCTGGACCGGGCAGAGCTGGAAGGAAGCTGTCGCCACCTGCCTCTTCCAGCCAGGAGGCTGACTTTCTCGGGGCCAGGGGCTTGTGCTTGCCTGGAATGGTTCCGAGAACAAGCTGGTAGGAGGCTGAAGGAAGTTGAGATCTTTGCCTTTGGGGGAGGGGATGGGTGAGTGAGATTTGGGAAGGTTTGTTGGGGTGGATCCCTCAGAAAGAGGAGACAGTTTTGAATCTGGAGACTTGTGTAAATACTGCTTTTAAGTTGGCCCCCAAGGACAAACAGATAGGGAGGTATACCAGCCTGAACTACTTTCTCCTGGTTTAACTCTCCTTGGAGCTAACCAGGTAACCCAGTAGAAGAATCCCTCATTCTTTCCAACTTGCTAGACATTCAGCACTTCCTTTGAGAAGAGGAATGAGTAGCCTGTTGCATGAGGGCCTCAATGTGGATATAATGTGTAGGGCTTTTTGGAAGGAAGGAGCCAGAAACTGTCTCGGGGATTGGGGGTTCTTGTCCCTGCTCCTCCATCTATCCTGAGGATTCAGATGTTCTTGTGGGAAACACCTCATCCTCTCACCTCTCACCTCTCAGCCTGGTGTGCGATGGTCTAAAAGCAGCATTGATGGAGTGGAAAGGGCACAGGTTTGGTGTCAGGCAGACCAGGGTACAAATTCTGAGTCTCTCACTACCTTTAAGGCTCTCAGGCTGTTACCTGGTGGGTAATAGGAGGGGAGCTTGTCTGTCCAGAAAGTTTCCTGTGAAAAGTCGATGTTTGCAGAGCCCCCACGCAGTAGCACAGTGCCTGGCACATCCCACGGACTCCATAGGATAGCTGTTGTATCCAGTGTTTCCTAAGCTTATTTCAGTAAGAACCTCTTTTTCCTAGGGATTAGTGTTTTTGGAATTCGTGTTTCTCTGAGCACCATCTGAGAAACCTTGCCCTGTCTATCATGTTTATTTAGCAAACATGGACCGAGCATTTACTATGAGCCAGGCCTACACTGTGTTCTGCATCCTTAGGAATCAGGGTCCTAGTGGCCCAGGCCAGGAGGGAGGGGGACAGACAGGGCTTGGTCACCAGAGAACATAGTGCCAGCTTCTATTTTTCTGATTCCAGTTTTGCCTTGGCCCCAGGGTGAGCTTGCTGAACATTATTAGATACCCTAATGTCAGCATCTAAGTCCCTCATTTTATTTTATTTCACTTTTATTTTACTTTATTTTATTTTATTTATTATTGAGACAGAGTCTCACTCTGTCGCCTAGGCTAGAGTACAGTGGCATGATCTTGGCTCACTGCAACCTCCGTCTCCTGGGTTCAAACAATTCTCCTGCCTCAGCCTCCTGGCCGGCTAGTTTTATATACATATATATATTTTTTTTGAGATGGAGTTTCGCTCTTGTTGCCTAGGCTGCTTGTTGCCTAGGCTGGAGTGCAATGGTGTGATCTTGGCTCACCACAACTTCTGCCTCCCGGGTTCAAGCGATGCTCCTGCCTCAGCCTCCCAAGTAGCTAGGATTACAGGCATGCGCCACCATGCTCAGCTAATTTTGTATTTTTAGTAGAGACGGGATTTCTCCATGTTGGTCAGGCTGGTCTCGAACTCCCGACCTCAGGTGATCTGCCCGCCTCAGCCTCCCAAAGTGCTGCGATTATAGGCGTGAGCCACCACTCCTAGCCGTTTTTTGTACTTTATAGTAGAGTCGGGATTTCGCCATGTTTGCCATGCTGGTCTTGAACTCCACCTCGGCCTCCCAAAGTGCTGGGACTACAGGCGTGAGCCACTGCACCTGGCCTAAGTCTCCCATTTTAAAGATGGGGAAACTGATGCCCCTAGAGGGACAGTAACTTGCTTAACGCCGCAACCCTGGCGAGTGGCAGAGCGGGGATTAGAACCGATGCTCTCCCTTTGGCGTTCTGTCTCCTACCCCGTGGATTGCAGTGCTTGTGCACTCCCTACTCCCCCCAGCCGCCTTCATCCAACAGGCGGGGAAGCTGGAGCAGACTGACTTGGGCCGTGCCTTGTGGCTCAGATAAGGTTGGTAGGAGCAGAAATACTCTGTTCCATCCTGGCCGAAAGCACCTAGCTGCTCTGGGGAAGGAGCCGGCTCACTGTTCTATCTGTGGAGTCTGGAAGGGGCCTCGGGTCTTTAAAACACACCCTCCTCTCCCCTTGATGAGCCGCCAGGTGAAGGTTCTCCCTATCTTTTTAGATCTCCTGGGTTGCAAATGTCACAACCTCCTTTGATTTCCACTCTGGAGTCTTGCCCCATGACTGTCACAAAGCAATGCCTGTTGCCAAACCTGTAGCTCCTCCTCCTCCTTCCCAGTGGAAGTGGAGGACGTTGGTCCCCAGCTTTGGACCTTGCCTTTCCTGCATTGAGGTCAGTCCAGTGGCAGTTGGAAATTCAGGGCTTGTGAGGGTGGCTTTACCTTGCCTGTCTTCCTTTGCCCCCATGACCCTTTGTTGGCAGGGGTTGGACGACAGCTCCCTTTAAAGCTCTGAAATTGGAGCTGAACAGCTGCTCTCCAGTGAGGGGGGGTGAGGGGGCTGTCAGCAGCCTGGGGGGCCCAGGTGGAGGTGGGGGCAGGGCTTTGGCACTGGGGAGCACACAGTCTCCAGCTCCTCTCTTCTAATTCCGGTTTTGCCTGGACCCCCTTCTGAAATGACAGTTCTTCCCTTGCTTTTGGTTTTTCCGGCTCCTATCTGGGAGATTCTAATCACACCTGTGTGATCTGGCCCTGGGGCCTTCAGCTGGTAGGGACTGGATATTTGGGAATATTTCCACTAGAACTCAGATCTCCAAGATCTATGCCTACGTCCTCCTGCATTTCGTACAGGGGGGCTGCTGGAAGGGCCAGAGGATGGGCCAGGCTCCCTGCAGCGGGGGCCGGCTCCTTAGCTTGGCGTAGGCAGGCGGGCCCCCATGGGTGGGGACTCTGCTTCCTTTGACCCAAACTTCATGGGAACAATAGACTTCAGAGGAGTCACCAGGGGCAGGAAATGGGAGCTGTGCTGAGGCAGGGGTGACCCTCCTGGGGGATGGGATTGCATATCCGGTAGAGGGTTGGGGGCAGTGCAGAGGGCGCTGGGGAGGGGCTGATGACACATAGGGTGGGCCTCTGGGGTGGGGCCCTCCTCCAAAGGGGGCTGTTGACTCAGCGTGAAGCTGGAGCTCAGTGTCGGTTCTGTGCTGAGTTTTACGCTCTGTCTTACTAGTACAAGTCTCGTGTTTGCCAGCCTCCTCTCGTGCCACGCTTGCCCCTGCCAGGACCTGGTCTTCCCCTTCCCCTCAAGCCCCTGAGTTGTCTTTGTGAATCATCCTGGGCAGGATAAAAGGCCGGTGTTGTTGCTCCCTGGCTGGCCTCCACCTTGGCAGTGAGCCTTGGGCAATTGTGGCTGGAACAGTGATGTTGGGTTGTGGGCAGAGCTCTGGGCAGGGAGTCCCAGGCTGGGGTCATTGGACAACATGAGGGATTTCTTTTTTTTTTTGAGACGGAGTTTTGCTTTTGTTGCCCAGGCTGGAGTGCAATGCTGTGATCTTGGCACACCACAACCTCTGCCTCCCCGATTCAAGCAATTCTCCTGCCTCAGACTCCTGAGTAGCTGGGATTACAGGTGCCCGCCACCACACCTGGCTAATTTTTTTTTTTTTTTAATAGAGACAGGGTATTTCCATGTTGGCCAGGCTGGTCTCGAACTCCCGACCTCAGGTGATCCACCCGCCTCGGCCTCCCAAAGTGCTGGGATTGCAGGCGTGAGCCACCTTGCCTGGCCATGAGGGGTTTCTTTAGCCACAGGCAGAGCGAGACAGCAGGTGGCATGTTCTGGAGGCGGAGGACTCTTATCTTGCCTCCATCTTTGTAAGGGTGGACCAGACTTTGTGAGAAGGCCACAGCTTGCCCTGGGAGAATTGTGAGTCAGACCACATGAGCTGCTTTTCCTGAGTTCAGGTTGCCAGCTTTGGGGTCCCAGAGAAGGTGTAGGAGTGACCCCAGAACCACTGCCAGGACCTGGAAGAAGGGTAGGAGTAGTGGAGACAACACATGCTGCCTTGATTTGTTTCTTCAAGGGAGCAAGATGGGGACCCCGGAAGGGGCAGACTCCTAGAATTGATT